GGTGGGTGTCTACTACAGACCACCCAACCAGGGGGAAGAGCTAGACCAGGACTTCTCCAGTCAGCTTATGGAGGCAGTTAGGTCAAGGGATGTTATTGTCATGGGTGACCTAAACTACCCAGACATTTGCTAGGAGGAGCAGACAGCCAGGTTTGACGGCTCGCTTAGGTTCCTGGCTGTATTACAGGACCTTCACCTTATCTAGGAAGTGTACAGCCCCACTAGGGGTAACGCAGACTTACAGGTGGCACCTGTGAGTGCAGACAGGGGGGCACCTGTCTGCACAGGTGCCCCCCTGTGCACTGTGCACCTAGTGCAGACTCACAGGTAAGACGGTTGTATTAGGGGTGCAGCTACTATTTGGGTACTATCACCAGCATGGTGTATAGGAGCTCATTATTTGCCCCACATCTGGGCAAGGAAAATAGCATGCACTGACTTGCTCACTGCCATGGCTAGATTGCAAGCAGGATTCCAGTTAACTCTTATCAGCCTGGCTATGATGTCTCTGCACAGTCTAGTAGTTTAGGGTAGGTAACCCTTTCCAGCTGCAAAATGGAATAACCTACCCCAGGTTGGAGGTGGGCGGGTGCTAGGACTCTGCCAACACTGTGACTTGTCTTCAGAAATTAATCGATTCATGGGCCAAGGGGCCCAGGCCCAGGGGCCCCTACCAATCAGGGGCTGTCTGGGAGCAGGCTCAGGGGATGGAGCAGGGACCCACCACACTTCCCAGCCTGCAGGGGCAAGTCCTGCAAAGCACTGAAGCTCCACTGCATGTTAAACACCTGAGAGCCAAAATGCGGTAGCAGTTGGGAGCTTGTCTCACCACTCCGTGGGCACAGTCGGGATGAAGTGGCAGTGAGGATCAATGCTGCCCTTGCCACTCACTGCCCAGCTGGTCTGTCCCTCTCCCGTCCCTGTGCCTGAAAGGAGCCTGATCCTGCTCTCCTTTCCTCCCAAGGGTTGGGTCGCAGGGCAGGCAAGCGACTCAGAATGGGTTGCTGTGCTGCTCACTGCCCCCAAACTGCACCAGATCCCCTTGCAAGCAGCATGTGGTACTTTAGGCCTGCTGCTTTGGGGTGCAGAGAAGGGGAATCCTACTGGCCCCAGGATGCTTCCTACAGTTCTTGACCCCAAAGAAGGCTGCTGATAGAGAGGGAGTGCCACACCATGTAGCGGAGCCCAGAGCCAAGGGCCAGAATGGGGCCAGCCTTGGCTGAACCACTGGGCTGGAGGGGACAGAGCCTGCTTGGGTAGGATGGGCTTCACCTCTCCCCTAACGGCAGATGTATCCTTTTCTCTAGGTTGGCTGATCTCATACGCCGGGCTTTAAACTAGCTTCGCCGAGGGAAGGGGCTGCTTTGAGTGGAGAGGATGCTACACCAGCACGCAGGGGGACAAGAGGAAGGGAAGCACAGGTAAGTATGAAGCATCAACATCCAGGGAGCCAGGGGGCCACAACTGTCCTGGGAGTGGGAGGGAGGCACATGCACCCTCAGGAGGCCTCAGGTGCCTCTACACTAATGCTCGTAGTATGGGGAGCAAGCAGGAGGAACTGTGCCTCCTGATTGCGAGCAAGAACCCAGACTTAGTAGGGCTCACAGAAACCTGGTGGGACCCTACCTACGACTGGGCGGAGGGCATTCGGGGGTACACACTATATAGAAGAGACAGGACAGAGAGGAAAGGTGGGGGGTTGCGCTCTATGTCAAAGAGCACCTCACATCATCCAGGATTAGCTTTGGGGTAGAGGAGGGTTGGGCAGAGACACTATGGGTCAAACTACAAGGGGGGCATGGCGAAAGGCACCTTACGGTGGGTGTCTACTACAGTCCACCCAACCAGGGGGAAGAGGAATAGACATTCAGGAAATGCAGGCACAAGTCTGCAGTGGCTCATGTCAGAAGCTGGGGGGCGCTAGAGCACGCCCTCGGCTGCAGGGAAGCTGTGCTGGGGGCGATGGGGATGCGCGGGTGGCCAGCCCTGGCAGTAGCCTGGAGTGAACTGGCCGGCCCCGAGGCCCCAGCAGTGGCAGGGCCTTGGTGAGGAGAGGTGTGCCCAGATTAACCTACCCCATGGTGCAAAGGAAGGCAGATCCCCTGCCCTGCACCGGTCAAACCGAGTCAGGGG